TACAGCATGCGGCCAGTTGTTCTGAGAAAGAGAAACCGAACGAGGGCGACCTCTGGTGTTTTTTTGTTGTGTTGTGAGGGGGGGGTCATCCATGAGAGGAGAAAAGAATGAGAGAGACAAAAAGAGAGAGAGAGAGAGATGATTTGTTCTTGCAGTATGAGAGTTGCAGAAACATCATGGAGAGCAATTAGAAGGGAACTGTCCTCCACGAGCAGGAAGCTGTTTCTACTTCCAATTGATATGCTCCCGGGAAGTCAAGGACGATGACTGCTGAAATCGGGGTCCAACGCGCTGGGACCTGGCAAACAGCTCGGGTCCACACCGACCTGAGCCAATCGTGATGTCCAATTGGAGTCTCCTCCGGTGACTCTTTAAAGGCGGCCTATAGATATAAGTGACCGATATTCTCCTGGGATGTCAAGGATGGTCACGAACTGAAGGTCCTGGCAGATTCTCTTTTGCCAGATGTTGTGGCTGTTGTTTGATGCTCACAGCACCTGGAGCTTCGGTTTTTGCTGAACAAAGAGGCCATGGTTCGGGTCGACGGGTCCAAACCTCCAAACCTTGCCCCTGCCAAACATCTTGAACCTCTCCCTGCATTTCCCAACTGGTCAAGGGAAAATCTGGCATCACAGGGGGAAATGCGGTGAAATGGGTCCTCAACGTTGCATGTGGACCGGGGCAGTATTCATCCAAGCATGGTTTGATATCACCATTCAGGGGATCATAGCCTCATCTGAGCACTCATCATCTGAGCAGCAGTCACATTCGGCCATCTTCGGGATGATGTTCACATGGGAGATGAAGAGGGAGCCGTCCTGACTTACAGGCTCAGCTTGGACACACGTTTCTCCACTGTTCTCAGGTCGTTTCTAAGAGTCCTGGGTGGCGGCACAAGAGTGGAAGCTGGGTATTTGGAGTTCAACCATCCACGTTTCCAACTTTATGAGATCTTTGTCAAACATGCAACATGCACATGTGACCAGCCAAAGGTCAACAAGCTGTGACATCACCAGGCTGTTGATCATCCTGCAGCGTTTCCATAGTGGATAAGAGCAGCTATGAGCGCTTTTCAACACCCTGCCTCTCCCCAAACAACAAAACACAAAAGCATCCAAAACGCCACGGCCATGGGAACCATGCATCCCGCGACGGTGCGCCGCACGCACCGCGCCGGAAAGTCGCTTCCTTTTCCATGGACTTGGAGACCCATCGCTGCGCCGTGCGGCGGAGCCACTCCATGGGCGGCGCGGCCGGGAAGAAGGACGGAGAGGTGGAAGAGATGCTCTCAGAACGACCAGGTTTCAATGGATATGGAATGGTAGATATAGATGGTGCATGAGACCAACTGAGCGTGGTGCCCAAGTAGTACCTGGCGGGAACTTGGGAACTTGGTCTTCTAGAACAAGCCAGGAAGCGCGTTGACATTGGATGTGGAATAATAGGAGATCATCTACAGGGTTAGTCAGACCCCAGAGATGGTCATTTGAGTTGGATGCAGGTTGGGGACGAGGGTGAGTCCGCCCAGGGGATTCCACTTGCCTGACTGTGTAGGATTGTGGCTTAACCCAAGTTATGACATCACCTCGGATGAATGCATCCAATGCGAAATCATTAAGTGTCAAAGCCAGTATTACTGGGCAAAGCAAACTGACTGGCCCGATCTGGCTCGTATAGTAGACTCATTAGAGACGGACTCTATGCCTTGCAAAAAGTGCTTCTACTCTTCTTCGTTCCATAGTGTGTCTTGGATTGACCTAGAATCTCGCCAGTTTGCAATGGTTTTCATCGTCTGTGGCGAAGCTGGGGCAAAGCTTCATGGAAGTGCCAGACCGACGCGTTTGAGTCGAGAGTCGCATCCGGTGGCTTTCCCACATGCCAAAGTCGCCTTCCAAATGATGAGGACATTGTACGCTGTTAGCATAAGTAGTTTGGGCAGGGAAATGGCCAAAATCAACAACGTATGAAGGAGAAAGTATACTAGAAAGTATCCAATTCTATAATATAGTATTTGGGCAACTTGTCTAATATAGATCGTGGATCCCCCCTCGAAAAAATGTGCCACAGAATCAACCACCCCAGGTTCGCCAATCTGAAAAGCTTTACAAAATCAAACCCCCCAGGACGCAGGCAAGGGACAACTCTCAAGCCGATATTACAAAATCAACTACCCGAGTCTCAAAATATAGTCTTTACAAAATCATAGGCACTCTGTTGACATGGCTCAGTACAATTACAAAATCAACCACCCCGAGGCCTCAAACAAGATAACAAATCTCAATCATTAAACCTGGATTGGGAAAAAACAAACGATTTTGTAATGATTCAACGGCGCGACATCATCGAGACGATACGATACGATACGAATCGATACGATACGATTCGTCTCACAGCTCTCACGGTTTATCCTTTCATGTTCTTGCAGCTCAACCCACTACAAAATCAAACGTCCATGCTTTACAGCAGGTCAATCGATTACAGAATCGACGGTCCATGACAACCACCCCACCCTAAAACTTGCATAGAATCAAGGACCCCACCCTCACCAGTGTGGCACTTTTGACATCCATACCAACATATCAGTTCCTTACAAAATCAACAGCCCCAAGAAGAAATGCTGCCCTTACAAAATCAACCTCCCCACCCCCCACAAAAACGGGAACCTGGAAACAAACTTTTTTCTTTACAATATCGAAGCTCTTTTTGTTACCCAGGTAGGTTGATTTTGTAAAGGAAATTTCAACGGGTATATCAGTGGTATCTAAGGGCCATCTTGGCCAGGACAAATCAATCCGCAACAGAAGTGACCGCTTGTAGCTGAGAATTGTCGAGATATCCCTAGACTCCTGTTGCCATACTTCAAGGAGGATGCCGTCAATGACAGAATTGGCTTGCTTCCAAGGAATGCGACTACTTCTTGAAGGACCTCCAAAGGACGCACCGTAACATGATCTCTTAAGCCATATGACCTCTGTTTTGATAGGGCAAAAATGCAAGAACCATGTCTTGACTCCCCCCAAAAGGAGGGATCGTCAGGTTCATAGGTTTTTGAGGTCCAAAGGGACTGCCTCCTCCCGACGATTCCAGCTCTGTTCTTGCCCTCCGTCGGCTCGGCGCCTCCTGCGGTGATAGCGACTTTTCAAGCGCCTGGGCGGCCAAAGGGGCAAACCGGAGGCCTTTTCAGCACGATCCGAGTGAAGTCGGTCTGAAGAGGTGCTGACTCTGGCTGCAAAAGGTTCTGGCTGGCCAAGTTTGTGGGAAGTATTCAAGACATGTTGCCAAGTGGTGTCAAAACCTGCCAAGTGGTTGGTTCCTAAAGAAAACCTCTTCGCCCCACACTGCCAACCGGAACAAACCTCTGAACCCTCGCACCGTCAGTCAATTCCTCTTTCGAAGGTTTTCGAGGATAAACCCATGGCTCCACGGAACCAACGAGACAAAAACCGTCTAACCAAAGATCCCAGACACGACCCATGGGACTGCCATAGGACTGCCGATCAGGCCAGGGGTGGTGCCAGAGGGGTCAATGTATGGAGCATATGCCAGTCCCATGGAGTGTCTGGGGGGTGTTTTCAGAGTAGGAATTCTACTACAGTGCCATTCCAACAATTGTTTTTTGAGTTGGCACTGTAGAATGCCATTCCATCTACAGTGGTTTCAGAGGTTCGATGGCACTGGCACCCCAACATATCTTGTATTTTGGGGCCATAGCAAAACCAACGACATTGGGGATTGTGCCATCTGCTCTGAACCCACTGTAAAAGTTAAGGAATCATCAGGAACCTACGGCTCAGGACTATTTCACAGTAAGCCAGTAAGCATCCAAAGGACTTCATATCCCTCAATGGCTCAAGTCCAAAGTGGCCTCCAACTCATGCACCCTTCAATATCCTTCAGGCTTCAGCAATGCCCCCCCCCAATGCTTCCTATCGCTAGCCCCCAAACTCCTCTGACTCCTCCCCTCTGCTTCGGCGCCTCTTCCGTGGCCGCTTGTGCCAGTGCATGTGCAGCAATCGAGGCCACATCCACCACCTAGAGTTTAGAGAGTGACCCAACGAGAAAAAAAAAAGGGGGCCACAAATCCTGTGAAACGTTAACACCAATAAACCATGGATCCGCTCATTTATTGGGTTTATATGTCTACCCAGAACTCGACTCCCTGTTTTGGAGTCAAAACATAGTATTGTCCTATCAAAACAGCGTGGTCATATGGGTTCTAGGATGTTCTAGGCAGGTGTATATACATTCTCCCATGGAACCTGGTTCACAGAAATCTGGCCAAGGCAAGGTTGTCACACCTGTCAGTTCCGACGTGGTTGTCACACCTGTCTGTTTGAGAAGAGGGCGAGCCGGGTCATCTAATGACACTCACTGTTCAACCTGCATGCAACATTCTGCCCGCACACAGCTTTGAAACCCAAAGAGACGACCAATCGATTTGCATTCAGCAGCACAAAAAACAAGCAAACATCAATCCAACCAGGACAACACCCTCCGGTGGCGGGTAGATCAAACTGGATGATCCCTGCAGGCTAACATGATCCCAAAATTCCTGCTGCGCATCTTTTCACAGGATCCTGGCAGGTCCCCGCATGCGTGAGCTTTGCACCAAACAGTGACCCAGCTGCTGCAAGATACGAACGGCGTGTGTGAGACAGGACTCGTCACCAACGAAAAAGCGCGAAAGCAAGGAGGCAAGTAGACGATACAGGCTCCCGCCCGTTCCGGGCAGGTTTGACGAGCTATCAAAGACCAGAATCGGGGCACAATCGGGGCAATAGCAGCAGGACAACATTGTACAACATTGTGCGACAGTTTTGTTGAGCCTCTAGTGTTGAAAAAACGTGGCTGGGCCCCCCAGTCACCATTTGGTGGCCATAGACAAAGGCCATGATTCATGGCCAAAGCACAGTTCTCTCACAAGTCAGGCGTGGCTCTCAACTGTAGTACATGTGTAACATCTCTCATTACTATCCAACTACATTGACACAGATCCTGTTGCGAGCATGTCAAGGGGGCCACTTCCTGACGTTTCAAACCCCAAGGTTCCTTGGGTCATCTTGGACTCTCTTCGCCCAACCGGGCCTGGGCCTCTCAGCCTTCGGAAGCCTGAGAGTCTGACGTGGACCCAGCACCTCATCCCAAATCCTACCAGCACAAGACCTGTCTCTGGGCAGCGTGCTTACCACGGGATTCACCGGTTGGAACACCCATTCAGGACCCTGCCACCCCTCGAAAAAGGGCTCTATTATAGGCTCTATTGGCATCTCTCAGGTGCTGTTGAGATTATTAGTGACTGATTCGTCCATGTGCAGTAAATGCAGAAAAGCCAGAAGAAAGTGCTCGCCGCGACACTTGCATACATGCCCGCCCGCACATCTTGTGTGAGGTTTGTGAGATTAAATCACATCCGTGCTCTCCGCGGTATGGCTCACCATGGATCAATGGAGGCCTAGTTACTTTCTTAACATATCCATCGCGCAAAAAGATCACGAGGCCTGATGTATTGCCATGATCTCTTCAATGATTCGACACTCTCAACCTACCCCAAGTTCAATCACCCTCTCGTCTGCTCGTGAGTCCAGAGTCCATCCCGCCCAGGTACAGCGGAGCAACCAATCCTGGGTCCGAGACGTCCACTTCTTATGCAAGGAGGGTTGGCTACTCTTGCTGCAAGAGAGGTTGTTTATGGTTGTCTTCAACTCCGTATGGCGCCAATAAGAGCAAGCACAAAGGACCGTTACCCCTCTCTCCCTCTAATACATGATGTCGGTGATGAGTGTGGTACATGCCTGAATCATCATCAACAACATGTTGACGACAAATCGATCTTGCTGCAACAAGTTGAAGTGCTCGGGCCTAAGGAGATGGGTCGTGCACCATGTTCCCCCAACCTGTCCACCGAGAAGCGACCGACCAGCCGGTGGAACGGCCATGACCCACAGCGAACTGGTGAGAAAATGGTGCCCAAATACCACACCCCGGCTCATGCATGGGTGGCCATGACTTCACACCATAATCCACCATACTGTATACAACCCTGACCAGGCCTGAATAGGAATCCAAACCCTTGAAGGAGTCCTAACCTTCACAGGTACGTTCGACGTGCGAACATCCGCCACTCCACGTGTGGTTCACACGACGTGCCAACCACGTGCAGGAACATGTGCGGGTGAACGGATGAGGAGCCCCTATGAGCCCCTCTTGTTCTTTTTCGGTAAAAACCCGTGCGGAGCACCAAGGAGCCCAAACGCACAACACAACACAACACGTGTGTGTCAACTGACTGGGTAGATGGCCGATGGCCTCAAACGGGGGAAAACCAAAACAATGGGGGAAGAGACCCAACTCTTCCAATCTTCTTAGTGCAAGTGGCCACTGAGGCACCTCCAGATTGACATGGAAGTGGAAAAAGCTCACCGCTCTGCTGGTAAACAAGGCTTCCCGGTACCGGTTTTCCACATGGAAGTGGCGTATTCATCGTGTTCCATCGATTTCCTGATCAATCTTCAGATCTCCAAATTGACGGCGGGTTTGAGCCAAGCCACCCACGGGTTTGGCAGCAATAGTCCATCTTGCTGTTGGACCACCCCACTTGCCAATTTTGAACTCCGGCATCGCAATCATACCTTGGCGAGGTGCAGCCAGGTTGGCCCCAACAAATGGCCCGCATGACCTCCCTTGACTTGACACAATCGGGACCTCTTGAGGCCGCTTCGAAGGCCCTTAGGAGAACCAAAGTGCATAGGGTCCAAGTTCTGAGAATGGGCCATGGCTTTCAAGCAGTCCCCAACTCGAATGATTGCGCTAAAGCATCTTGAATCCGTAGAAAGCCGCCTCAGGTCGTGGCGCCAACCTCTCCAAGTTGCCCTTGGCTGTTTGAGTCGCGGCAGCCCCGGCCATTGTGAAAGCAGCACCACACTTTCTTGCCCTGCCAGTGCAGCCCACGCAGTGTCGTGTGCACCAATGGCACGCTACCCCAAGCGCACAGGGCTGATGGGACCAAACACCGTCTTGGGAGTCATAAGGCTAGGAAGACATAGGGAATTTTTCGACTTATCACTGTGAATTTGCACGGTTCCGAAGATCTGCAGTGGATTCTGCTACAGTATTATTCTTTCCTGGCACTTGGCAGTTGCCGCTTGATGCCCATGATGCCGCTTCTACAAGGAACGGGGATGGACACTGGATACGGCTGAACAACAAACGTGGTCAACATCAACGACCCCAATGGCGACGGCTGTGAATACAAAAATATATATATATATATATATGGAGAGAGAGAGAATATAGATATTAGATCATAGATCCCTGAAATCACACGTTTTACGGGAAACACGCTTGTAGTATCGCGGATGGTATGAATTCTCTGCTTCACGTATGGCTGAGCCGTTCATTTGCCAGCCTCGGACCAATCATGCATCCAGTTCTCGTAGTTCTGGGCGCAATCATATTTTTGGGATGGTGTTCCAGGACAAGCCACCGAAGCGTGATAGCCTCAAACAAATGAGCGCCCCATGTCATACCTTCCACCGGAGGCGCACTTGATGCACATGGAATCACACAGAAACAACATCATCCCAGGAGTTTCGGTCACCAACTGGCCCTTAGGCCTGTAAAGGGTCACCGGCACAGACTCCGCAGGTCACAAATTTGAAGGTCGTGGATGTTCTACATCACATGTGGTGCTAAGCAGCCAAGTACGTGAGGGCAAGGAGGGCGGTTACATCTGGGCCATGCCACTGTGAAAGCTGAGGAAGTGCGACGGGGTTTGGGTAGGAGCTCGTAGGGCACAAACTTAGGAAGAATTTCCGCAACACCTGCACGCCTCATCATAGTCGTATGTCTGTTTGGTGGTTTTCCAGATGTTTCTCCTTCCGAGTAGACCTGTCATGTCTCAGGTTGTAGTAGACCTGCCAATTTCCGAACACTGGCCTCCATGCTGGAGGCAAAGGCCTGGAGCCTTCAACCACATCAATCCGAATCACAGGAAACACACACTGCATCAACAACAGCTCTTGGCCAGGACATGTATTGGACATTATCCTTTTCTTCTGGGGGGGGGGTTTGGTCTGCACACAGGGAATACCGTATAGGTCAACAAAAACATCCAACGACCGTCGTCCAGCACCGTCCTCGGTATACTGCGGGCCCAGCTGCAGCACCACTCCTTCTTCTTCTGCTCCCAGGCCTCCCAATCACCATACCCTGCGGCACAATCCTGAGGTCTTCCGGAGGTCTCCCGGAGTGTGGAAACAAAGGTCCAGCATGCATTGTTCCAAAAACATCACTGGTAGTTGGGAAGCGCGCCATGCATGTCATCACTGTGATTCCATTTGTCCCGCATGCATTGTTCCAAACACTCGTTCTTCATCTTTTGACATTTAGGTACTTGGGACCTCACTGGCCCACCTTGTAACATTGGCATTTTTCCGAGTTCGAAGCACCAAGAAGCGAAACAAAGCCTTGAGCGAAGGTGGCGGGGCCAGAACAAGGGACCAAGAACCAATTCTTTTTTGTGAAAGTCGTTGCCTTTGGCTTTGCAGAACGAAAGCACTGTACATACCATTGTTTTGAGCACAACACTTGATGGGCTGCTATCTGTGTGGCATGTGTGGCGCCTTGAATGGTCCAAAACACTGCAGATGGATTGAAATCAAGGCTACTGAAAACATCGCTGGTGATGTCTTCAAGAGTGCTGCTTTTGTGCATCACGACTTGCAAACAGAACGGTGCTTCCATTGTTTTAGCCAAAGCGATGGCATATGTACGGTCTTTTCAGGGTGCGAGACACATCGCGAGCACCGTGAAAATTGTGCCCAATCGTTAAGTCGTGGAGCTTCTATCATGGCATGTTAAAGCAGTTTTTCTGTTGTTTTGGCATCGCCAGTTCCGCGAGACGTTGCAATCAACCAAGCACATATGGTTTTTTGCAGGTGGTGGTGCTTGTTGTGCAATCTTAACATATTAGCATCATGAGTAGTTTGAAACTGCCCGGGTGCGTGGGCAGTCCTCACCTCTACTCCAACCCTCTTGCTACAAACCGTGTATAATAGTCATTGTCTGTCCTGGTTGCACAGAGCTTGGTGGATGCTATGATGCTCGTCTTGCGTGCCCACATGTTCACAACAATGTCGGTCCCAAAGGATGCGGAAGCTTTTTGCACGTCTGACAACCCCTCTGGAGGGGTTGCGGGGGAAGCTTGGGCCCAAGGTATCGAACCAACAACTTGACCAGAAGTCCAGGGCCACAAGGAACAAGAAGCGCATCCCTGCCATACCAGCAGCTGCCTCTAAAGGTTTGAGGGTGGAAACAACCTAATGTAGGTATCAAGATCATCCCATTTGACACTATTTCCAGGACTTCCGGGAATCAACAATGTCAAGACCCTCCTCTAGCTGCAATGCCTCACCAAGCAACAAAGGACTCGGAGGACCCCATCTCAGCCTGGAAAGACCAGACTCCAAAGGAACAGTAGGGATTGCAAATCACCTGTGAGATAGATATCTTTGACGCATGAAAGAATGCTTGCAGTTCTGCCTGAAGAGTGGACATGTTTTGTCTTGAAACACTGGATTTGGGTCGGAGCTCATCTGCGAGGACTTCGTCTTCGACGAACGCGTTGTAAAGGTCTGACCCTATTGCCTCCAAGCTGTCACCGCTGGAGACCCCTCATGAGCCCTCCCGCCATTGGGCTTGCTGTGTCTGACGCGGGGGGTCATGTTCTGGAGAACTGCACTATGGCCTTGGGTACCTAAGCCTCAGAGAAGATTGCTGGGCTTCATCTCAGTGGGTTCCAGATGTTAAGTACCAAACGTCAATCCCATTGATCCAGCTATGTCGCTGTTGTCCCTCATGGTGGGTTTTTTCTACTGTGCAATCTGAGCGTTCTGTGAATTCCCTCGCATTCGATCAAACGAAACTGCCGACCCGACCATGCCGGACCTGGAACAAACTTTAAGACTCAGATTCTGCATCTGGAAAGAGGATCTTTATAGAAAGATCTGGCCTCCCAGGTGCTTTAAAGCCACGCCTCGCCCTTGGCGGGGCAGCCACGTTCGTGATGAAGGCAGCAATAAAGCTTCTTCCTGATGTATGCGGAGGGCATGGTGCCCTATGTCTGCGGAGTTTGTGATCCACAGGAGTGCGTGGTCCACAGGAGTGCGTGCTCTGTCTCTGTCTTTCTTTGGGCAGGCCTCCACTCCCCAATGGTAGTGGTTTTGTTGAAGGAGTCAATAGCGCCGTAGCGCCAGTATGAAGCCCAGATCCAGGTTCGACACGAGCCGGCCAGTGATTTTGGTCTATATGTGCACCAAAGCTGGATCGATCACGTGCGTGCTTCCCTTTCTCACATGAATTCCCGTGAATCACCTCTGAAGAGTTTCAACATCTCCATCAAACCTATATAAGCCCTGTAAAAGCACCAGAGTGCCTGTATACGAATCACAAAAGCTACTACCAAAATCAGACACCTCTGAATTGCCAAGCCGCCGGTAGGACCACAACTCTGTCCTAGCCATGCGAGGAAACCAATTTTGGCCGCAAAACAGCGGAGGTTCACAGCACGTGAGTAGATGCGCAGAGGTCCGTCTCAGCTCAAAACGTCTCCACCATCTCAACCCAAATGGGAAGTGGGTGGGGGCGCCACAAACCTACGTCATCCTACTAGCAGTCGCATGTGGTGCCGAACGAACGAGGAAGGAGTTGGGTGCCCCTGTCACATCCATGGCCCCTGGATGGGACGAGCCACACCACCCAACTCCATGTGACTCCTGGTGTGCATATAAAATCACATAAACTCTTCGGCATAAACAGCACCCACAGCCCGGAGCTGCGAAGATTCACACGAAGCCCGGAGCTGCTAAGATTCACCGATTCACAAGGCGCATACGGTTTTTCCTGCAGTTGCTGGAAGGCCTTCCAGGCCTACTGCGAGTCTTGAACCGTGGAAGAAGTTTGAAGGTGGTTTTTGGCGTCCCAAAAGGGCTCAATGCATCCTCGTTCCATCTGACAGAAGGACGTGGTAGGGTTGCAGCTGCATTTGGCCAGCCCAACCCACAAGGGTCATCAACGATATACAAAAAAGGGCGTGTTCATCCAATCAACCGGACACAGGTAGGCGGGGAACACAGTTTTCAATTGCCAAGCCGCCACTTGTGATAGTCTTCATCACAGTCCTCAGCCATCTAGATGATCTCATGAAGGAGAGCTCATCATGAAAGGAGCTGGGCGCGGAGACAAAGATTCTAGCATTGCATCGTGTCGTAGAATTTGAAACAATTGGGCAGTGCGATGACGCCTTTGTGCAGAAGAATGCCAGGGAAGGGCATGGTATTTGCAGTGAGTTGCTGGGCATGGTGCAAGAAAGGCCTTAGCGGACACCGATGGAGGTTGATAGCTGATATCTTCTGAAGCTTTGGGCGATGTGAGTTTCTTGACAAGTAATTAAGGCCGGAACAGGCAGGGGGGCAACCAGGAATATATATATAATATATAATTTATACATGCATAGTAGCCTGTATAGTAATATGTAAAAATATAGAATGTATATCGATTTGACTATGTTTGCGTGTTGAGTTTTGTAGTCCTAGCTGTTTTGGAATTCATTCCACCGGCAATGGCCAAAGGCGGCCATGCGTCAAAGGCGGCCGTGGTGAGCGCAGCCCTGCAAGCGATCCCATGCTTCTCACAGCAGAAATTCTGCTTGCCTCAGTCAACATCATCTAAGTTCAAAGTCGCTACTTTGTGGGGCCTGCATTTTGGTAGCCCAAGTGGTCCAAGATGATTCCAAAGGTCCAAAACGCCAAACCTTGTGGGTGGGGGGAAATCGTGTCAAACAGCAGCACCTGAATTGGATGGACTGAAGCCAAAGCAACGCGTGACGCTCTGGACACACGACGAACCACGCGGGACGCTCACGTCTTCGACGCCGGGCCGCTGATCGTCCAGTCGCGTTGCCTCAGACGAGGCCAGACGATGCGACTGGGCGAGAGAGGAGTGGGTGGTGGGTGCGGTTGAAAGAACCCAAGACAGTCAGAAAGGATGAAACCTGATTCAAAACATCTGGCCGATCCCTCCAGTGAGCGTAGCCCATGGTAGCCCTAGTTTGTGAGCCCTGAAACTAGCTGACCCTCCACCATCCTCCAACCCCACCACCTGGAAGAATGATCAGAACCCGAGCATATATATAATATTATATATATATACACTCTACCTAATGCCCACCGTCGGAAAGCCTCAAAGGCACCTTTCCCTGTATATTCTCTTATCTTAGCCCTTTTCGATTCATCCCATCACATCTGATCACTTATCTGATCATATCCCATCCATTCGCATCGCTTCCAACCAGGGCGCCAGTTCAACACATCAGTAAAGCAGTCCTCATCCGAGCTCTGCGCTCTGCTCACCACAGGCCCGCCCGGCGGCCCACCCACGCCCGGTGCGGTCGGAGCAGCTCCCGGAGCCTTGGATCTCGAGAACTGGATGTTTGTTTGAGGACAGCACCTCACAACATCAAGGACCAAGAAAGTCCAGAAAAGGCTTTCTTCCGCGTTCCTTTTCTGCTGACATTTGGTGCAAGACCATTGCCGACTCCCTCACCAAAACACGGCGCTTGCAACGTGGGATCTCTTTGAGGGGCAGTTTCTCTCTGCTTGGTGGTTTCAATCGACTGGACACCTGTTGGCCATTTTGGACGGTTTAAACAACCCGATTCAGTCCCCCTACCAGAAGCGACTCCTTGGCAAGTACAAGTCCTTTTTGTGTGGACGTCCGGATCGTCTGATCTACCACTGAGGGGTAGAGACTTTAGGTGCCGCTGCCGCTTTTGACCATGTAGGAGCCAAACAAACTGAAATCACCCAGCGGCAGGTACTGCACCATCACCCGCGCAAAAAAGGGGCACACACTTCTCCGTTGGTTTCCAGAACCCTCAACAAGACCAAGCGTCTAATAGTTCCAGATCAGGTAGCTATAAGACTCTAACCAACGTTGCTCCCTTCCCAAAAGTGTAGCTTAACACAAAACGTATCACCAAACGGCTACACTCCCTGAACCGCTCAGCTTGTAATGTTGGATCCTGATTAGTACAAGATCCTCTATAATGCTAAATTTTGCAGAAAGAATTCTGGACACCAATTTTTGTTTTGAGGGTCCTCTATTATGCCAACTTGTTTTGGATCTAAATTTGTTTAATCATATTTCCTTCAAATCCTTCGAACACCTGTGAATACTTTAAGTCAATGAGTTGCCTGCTGGAAATGTTGATGGGTGTGGGTTGCTCTGGTTCTTCTTCGGAACTGACAGTTCCCCCAGAGCCATCAATTCCTTAATAAATCCTTTATGTAAAGATTGTTCCTAAACAATTTTTCAAGGTAGTAAGTAGATCAGGAAGGCCCCTGATCCTAAATGTTTGCCTTAAGGGTCCTGAATTGTGCAAAGTTTTTCCTGAATAATAGTAGGAATAGTTTTTCTTAATACTACAAGCCCATGGCTGGCTGGCTGGCTGGCTGAGAGTATTGATAAGTATAGGTCTCTCTAGTTCTTCTTCAAAGCCGCAAAGAACCTGAGAACCTTCTTTGTCCTCGTCTTAGTAGTATGAATGGATTGCCGAGAGTATCTAATTACAAAAGAACCTGGGAAAGGACAATTACTACTACAATCAATTACAAAAGGAATCCTCCCAGGAACCCAGATTTGTTTTGATGGTCGTCTATTTCAGAGGACCCCCCATTTGTTAGAGTGAGGGGGGGGGGAATCCCTTTTACTGAACCATCAGAATCCATGCACCACATCGGATAGAACTCAGCACCCCATCGGCCATAGGGGCCATAGGGAACTTGGGCGCGGCCGGGGTCGGCTTCACCGTGGTGGTCGGACACCCTTGGTCCCAATGTTCGCAGCACCAGGCCCTCAGCGAGCTGGCGAGCGCTGGACTCCCGCGTGGCAATTAAGGGGTGTTTGGTCGTTGGGCCGGGAAGAGGGAGAGAAGAAAGGATCGATCTTGGATTTGAGCTGGATGGACCCTTGACAGAACATGTGCCTCAGAAAAACATCTCGCAAGGGGTGTCTCATGGTGTCTGTGAATAGCCTATGCGCCGCCTTTTCAGCCAAAGGCTTCCTGCAAATGGGCATGGTGTTGCTTGGTAAGATTGGGAGGTGGGGGGGCGCTACAAGGGTGAAGATCCTGCTCAACTGATAGATGTTACATTGATTAATAGATATTGATCGTCTAAAACATGTCTGGACATTGTCCCAAACTCCAAGTTCTACCCCAGACCCCAATGGCGAGTCTCCAAGTTGGTGAACCCAAGCCAAAGTTTGCTCTAGCAGTAACAGGTGGGGTCATTTTCAACCTAGAGCAGTTCGCCGCTCTTCGCCCAAAAACAAAACCTACAACATGGGTTAAGTCTTCAAAGGTAAAGGCATGAAAGGCATAACAGTTTGTTGGTCCACCGTTCGTTCATCCGAGTTGGTCCAAAAAGGCTACAGACGTCGTGAAGGGACGAAGTCGGACAAAGGGACGAAGCGACTGTGCTTACGGACCAAGCGGAGCGTCTTCTTCGTATGCGACCACATGTGCTCAGGCTGATGATCGCAGTCGTAAGGCACATTGATCTGCAACGGTTCTGGCGGAGCCTGGATCGGTGAAGGATCACTGTCGAAAAAAGGAGAAAAGCTGCCTGGCTTGCAGCTTCAGGGATGGCGGAAGTCCAGGCAACGAGATGAACTCCGCCAGAATCGGATTGGTTTCTTGGGCACTCCGCATATATATAAAATGATTCATTTGGTAATTTGGTGAGGATCCTGATGCTCATCCCCAATGGCCAACTGCTGTCGAATAACCTTCTGATGATACTGATTTGCTTCAGCCCTCTCCATAAGGATTTCATCCCGACTTGAAAAGAGGAATCAATCATCGACTCAAACCTAGGAATCAATCCTGATCCCAATTCCCTTCACAGCTGGTGCTGAAGTTTGATCATGTTTGATCTTTTGATCAGCTAGGCAACGCAGTCGTAGGATTCACCTTTTCATCCTTTTTCCCGGTGCACACCCCAAGAACAAGAACAGAATAGACCTGGACCACTAGGGCCACTAGGGGGTCTTCACCAAACCACTCTGAGGGGATCTTATATGATTTTGTTTGAGCCGCATGAGCTGGTTCAGCCTCATACTCTTCCAGCCTGAAACAAACGGACGAACCACACAATGGTCCAGAAGATCACCTGAGCAGCGAGCACGGGCCCGTGGAATCATGATGAGGCGGACGTGGTCTAGACCTTGGGTCAGCCAAGTTCCAATGATCTGGCTCCAAGTACCTTGGGTAGTTCTGGTTACCTGGGCGGGGTTACCCAAGGTAGTGATAGCCTGGTCAGACAAGTTCCCTCGTCTGGGTGGTAGTGATCTTGACTTGTTCCGGTCAGACCCCCCCTTGCTGCTACAGATTTACCCGAGGCGGTGGGACTCAAGCTTCGCCACAGATTACTTAAAATGCTTCGCACGGTGCTGGTGCTGGCACTTGCTTCACCGAAACTTCTGCCGAAAGCATCTACCCAACCCGAGAAACTGGAGAGTCCACCGACTGAAATCACCTGGTCCATCAACTGGTGGCCAGGTTTCATAGAAGTTCTGAAACAGCATGCCAGTTGGAAGGGGTCATTTCAAGATGAGAAACGCCCCCTCAAAAACTCGTCATTAATATGCACAAGGACCCATTTGCACACCGGTGCGCCCTCAAAGGAGCTGAATGAACCAGTGCTAAGCTGCCTAGGATGTAGAATCATGTTCCATACTAACCTTCAGGGAGTAAGTATATCATGCGTATATGTCCTGTCGCTGGGGACATCCACCAGTCGACTGAAAGGGTCCGAGTCCCTCTGCCGAAGTCCGACTGACTTCACCTGCCGAAGCTGACGATCTCCGTCACAGCTGCAGTCGAGGCACAAAGAGGCCCAAAAGAAAGCATCCCAAAAGAATCCACCTCCGGTACCATTGCGGGATCCACTTAAGGCAGTAGAGCTTCCAAAAAGACTTCCAGCAAGACTCCTGCACTATCTTTCCAGGGCCACAGCAAAGGCCAGAATTGGCCAACACCGGCTTCCCATGTTGCCAGCGTTGACTTAGACAGCGCGTTTTTTTGGCCCCTACATTACTTCTATATGACTGTCCGTTGCTTTCAACTTCGTGAACCCGTCGCCTCGGCTTTCGATCGGATCGAGTCGCCCCCCACTCACCGTCTTTGGAGGCATCACGGTCGGTCGACCGTTGAAGACTGAACCGAAGAACGCGATCCGATCCTCTGACAGCGTCTAACACTTCCTTAATTAGAAATGAAGCTCTATATCCCAGACACGACCCATGGGACTGCCATAGGACTGCCGATCAGTTGGGGTGGTGCCAGAGGGGTCAATGTATGGAGCATATGCCAGTCCCATGGAGTGTCTGGGCATAATACATCTCCGTATGCCAAGAAAAGACATACAGGAATTGGGAAGGTCTCCTTTCGACTCTTCTCATCGAATATGGAACTCCGCTGTATCCCCTGTGGCCTCCTACACCAAAGATGCATATGGGATAGACCTTTATCCCTCCCAAACACCAGTCAGTTTAAGAGGCTGATGCAAATCAACGCTTCGCCCGCTGAGAACTAACGTTGCACCATTCAGGTTGGAAAAGATCAGCTGCTTGGCCGCCCCTTGACATGCCCAGCCCCTTTTCTCCCCTCGCACCACCGGCTAGAAACGGAGGCTCAGTAGGTTCGAAGGTGATGCTTTCCTCTTATAACACCCTTGAATTCTTGAAGTTTTTCGTGAGGTGGGACAGGACTAACATGTTGTAACCATTTGGAACCACTTGGAAGATTTGTTCATGCTCATCCAGAATCTTCCAAACTTCTCGTGCTCATTTTGAAGGTCTCTTCCCTGGAGCTGGAAAGAACACCTCTCCAAAACACCCCGAATCGCCGCCACCGGGCTCCTTCTTGCCAGCGGCTGGCACATAAGTAGATTGCGGAGCGAAGGCCGCCGCCCACTCAGGCTGACCTTTCAAGACGTACCTCAGTGGTTCGGCACGACTTTTAAGGCAGTGATTGCTGATTGCTGCGGGGTCGTTAGATGTCACGGGCTTTTTATAGCCAACTGGTCAAACCAAACTCTCAGGGTTCATGTTCACCCACTGGGTAGGCTGTAACCAAGTGCAGCCATGAGCACAACCAAGTGCAGCCGGTCACATAGTCTTTTTCGTTGAATTTGCCACAGCACAGGTGTCCACCGCCTCTGCGGCAGGAATTCGCTTGACGGCTCCGATGAGACGGCGATGCCGCAGCGAGAGCTCCGGTCAGTCCCATTCGGCACCCCCAGTCGGCTGACCCAGTCGGGCCCCTTCCGAAGTGGACCGGAGCGAGTTTGGTTGAAGAACGCCGCTGTGGCGAGCTCGGTCTTCGTAACAAGAGCCAGCCGGAACCAGCTGCCTTCTGTCAACCACAGCTCTGAGGGCTTGGTAGATGTACCCACCATGGTTTCCAAGAACAGGTTCCTTAAAGAACAAAGAGTGCCCGTTCGAGATTGCATCCTGTGCCTGGTGAAGACCTCTTGCAAAAGCAGCATAGCCAGCGCTGAGGGGGAATGATGCTTCACATATTTTCACTGTTGCATCAGATCATGTTCTCTCGCAGTCTTCTCATGGTGGGACCCTCAGTATCTTAGCCCTCTCCCAATGAAACAGCTTTGCTCTCGAACTCGCAGACCTCTCGCTTGACCGATTTCACGCATGCTGTGGACCCACCCCATGTATGCACATTTCAGCCACCTCACATGATCAAACCCAAGACCTCGACGGCTCTCGCTGTCCAGAGACCCGGCCTCCAACGTGGCTTAAGACCAAGCCTTCACTGGACATCTCCTCCTCGAACATACTCGCACCGGCCGGGTCCTTGACAACCTGAAGAGTGGTCATCATGAGCGGAAAAACGGGTGCACGAACTTCAGCAGTTGATAGGCTAGTATACGGATGTTGAAGGATGCTTCTCTGCCAGGCATCTCCTGGGACCTCAAAGGTTTTCTACCTCGAAGGTCTGTTTTCTGCCGTCTGAAACAGGCGGATTGCGTTTCTCACACTGACCAGCGAGGTTTGAGTTTCTCACACCGACTGGTCAGTGGGGTCGCTTCGGGTTGGGTTCTCCCTGTCCGCTTCACTAGGCCCATCCCGACGATACGCTTCGTGCTTTCTACCGGCTTTCACTTTCGCCGGTCAGTATTTTGGATGTACGAATGATGTGGTTTTGTTGGGATGGATTTTGCTCAGTACGGTTCTCAACAGTGTAGTCCCTGACTCACAAAATCTTAAAAGCTACAAACTGCAAACACAAAAAAATACTATAAAAGCCTAGCCCACGAGAACCAAAAGCAAGCCATCAAAAACCAACTCCCAACCAACGTCAGCCCAAAGCCACACAAGCCACCAAAAGCCACCAAATGTCAAAACCAAAAAGCAAAGGAAAGCATCAAAAATCAAAAAGCTATCAAAAGGCAACAAAAGAAGCTATAAAAAGCTTGCCATCAAAATCCAATCCAATTCGATCCACGAGAACCGCCAAAATCAGGCCATCAAAGACCAAACCAGCACAAAGCCACCAAAAGCCGCAGGAGCCATCAAAGCACGAAAGACACAGAAGCAACAGGTAGAACTTTGGTATATCCCATTCCCTGTAGCAGCAGTGGATGATGATGGTTGGGGGAGGCCTCATGTACTGTAGTGATGAGTAGTTCTTCTTTCAACGTTGCAGGTCACGGGACACACCCAAGGTAGAAGAGAACAATATAAAAAAGCGAACAAGCTAAAAACAAGAACACTATACTATGCCCCTCCTGTCTGGTTCTCTCTCTCTCTCTCTCACCCTCCACCCCTCCAAGCTCCGAAACCACGAGCCATGGCAGCCATGACTGGTCGTGGCAACGATCTAAACCCCCCCCGGAAGGCTCCGGAAGCAATGGGATGAAGCGGAACCCGCAAACCTCGACCCCACTCACCCCCCCCCCCAGCTCCGACCCTCGACCCCACCGCCCAGAAGCATCGACCCCCCCGGTTCCGTGTTCAGTCTCGGCACATAGGCGAAAACTCCATCTGGAATCCGCTTGTCGTCTTTGCCGACCCTTGGAGAAACAGGCGGCTGCTGAAACAGGCTAAGCCTGTTCGTGTTTTTCCAGGAACTCACATGAAAGTCTATAAAGGGAGCCTCTTCTTCACATTTCACGCATGGATTTAAGACGAAAACGCATCTTCCTTCACTTCAAGAGCGTCTTCCTACAAACCCACACCCATGGTATCTCCTCTGACAATTGTTCATTCCTACAGCATCCTACACCATCTGGATGCCATGGGCAGCCTTGCTTCCCGCGACGACTTCGAATCCGGACGGACGATCCTCACGGGACTGAGCCAGCGTGGGGCGATGGCTTAAAGACTGGAGCTCTGAAGTGACCTTCTGGATCTTCTGGGACACCTATCCCAAACACTCCATGGGACTGCCATATATTGCCGATCAGTTGGGGTGGTGCCAGAGGGGTCAATGTATGGAGCATATGCCAGTCCCATGGAGTGTCTGGGAATTGGAACTTATCCTATGGTGGCGGAGGTGGATATGTTCTCCTATGGTGGCTCAGGAGGACCAGATCCTCCTAGTGACCTTCTGGGGGATATGTTCCTTCTTGATACACCTTCTGAGCCACTGATACTGCGGGAAGATGGCATGGTCGTGCTCACGGTAGAAGGCAGACCATATGCCATATGCATCGTCTATGTCAATGTGCCACTTTTGGGGTGCCCTAGATGCAAGTCGGTGAAGCCCGGCCACAAGTGTTTCACTAGTGTTTTTGGAGGTTGGGAGGGTCAGAAGCAAAGCTAACGAGCATCACCCAAACGCAATGCCAAACATAGTGGTTGCTGGAGTTAGTGTTGTCGTTTTTCTGTGCAATCATCGCTAGAAATGGCCGGTGTTGTCCCCATTGTCTTTCAAGATCTGTCAGACCCTGTCGTGAAATGCGCTCTTCACGTGACCAAGCAGCTCCTCGCAAGACAAATATCCTGCTGAACTTTGGAGATGCGAGTTTCGCGTCTGTTCCAACAGTGAAGGTACTGGATGGGTCCAATTATATATGATTGGAACGTGGCACCCAAACCCACATGTGATGCGTTCGGATGAGAAATGTGTCAAAAGCGCTACATCATACCCCAAACACTCCATATATGCCTACAGGCAAGCCCAAACCACCCCAATGTAGGCACATATGGCAGTGGTGCTGGCGTTGTGCTGTACTCTGAGCCGTAACGCAGCTTCCGGGCCATCGATCTGGCCCGCCACCACGCATTCGATCGTCGCCGGATCAAAGGAACCAACTGAACGGTGCGAGCCACGAACGTTTCAAAACAGTCTTGGACCCGCCGTGGGCCAGGCGGATGTTCGGTGCCGCAGCTGAGTTCGGTGGATTGATGTCGATCGTAAAGACAGGGCCCCAAAAACCAATTCCCAGACACGACCCATGGGACTGCCATAGGACTGCCGATCAGTTGGGGTGGTGCCATTGGGGGGTCAATGTAAGCATATCTGGAGTGTATGGGATTGGAGAAAACCGCTCCTCTCGTCAGCAAACGTCACCTCCAACCAAACTCCAGCATGTGGCTTGACATGCGAAGCCAACCTGGACCCCCAGGTCACTTGGTCACTGGTTCCGAAGCTCCGAAGCTCCGGGTCCAAGGCGCCCCGGTTGGTTCAAAGTGTCTCTTCCGGACGGGTCAATCCAAGCAACCCCTCGCGAACGACAGTGGTCAAAGCGTCCAGCAACACCGTTCGTTCTGAAAAGACCTGGTTGTCACGCTGGTTGTCTTATCTCGTCTTCAGTCGGGACTGAACCTGGGCCCCAGCTATAACACTCAAACACGACTAATGGGACTGCCATATGTGCCTATACTATACATTGGAGGTGGTTTGGGCGTGTCTATTCTAAAAGCAATGCTTGCCCCGGCTCTTGTGGTCCAACTGGAAACTTGAAAGGAGATGGGTCACTTGAAACCCAGCTCTGCTCAGTTGTTGCACTCACCAAGTTGCAGGGCTACGACTTTGCAAGATGCAGGGCTACGACCCACCGACCACCAGCAACCCTTTAGAAGACACCAGCTGCACACGGAGCTTCACCCCCTTTCGGGGCGAGCGAGGTGGTCCGCCTCGCCAGTCGGTCCTTGCACGGTCTTGCCCGTGGGGTCCATCAACTTCAACAGAAAGGCCGAGCCCATCTTAGGTTCCTTGATGAAGTGGGCGATTTCTGAGCTGTGGGAATGGTCCACCACTTTCCTGGGACGTTTCACTCGCTCGCTCGCTCGCGCTGCGAATCGGTGACGAGCACGGCGAACGAACCGCCGGACTCTCGGTCGTCACGAATCGGCGAGTCGCTGGAGGAAGTTGGAATTATCACATGAGCTTAAGTGAGAAACATTCTGCTCCACTAAAGCGGGGCAACTGACTAGCCAGTTGGACGATACAATGATGGATAGAGATTAGAATACGTTATGAGGAGGTGTACTTGGCACAGAGCCAATCATCAACGTGATTGATCTGCTCATGGCAGCTTCTTTGGTGAAGGAGCCGAATAAAACGAGCCGCGCTCGAGCTGAATCAACGGAGGGGCGTCCCAGGGGGGATAACGGAGCACTTTACAAACCCGCACAAACCTGGATGTTCTGGTAGATATCAAGTGATCCCCAGGGCTCCAAGTACCTTCTAAGAAGGTGTTTGGGGTGGGTTTAGAGGGTCCAAATATGTCCAAATAGCTTCTTGAGGAGGTACTTGGATCCCCAGGGATATGAAGATTGAGATTTAAAAAGAACACATCACTGGGATGGCGCTGGGAGCGCCCCTCACTCAACATCTGGTATAGACCCTCCCTAAAATAGAAGTCAACTATGAATCCACAGGTCCTCACATCGCCCCCCCCAAAAAAGAAGCACGTTCCCATCTCTCCGCTCTCCGCTCCCCTCTCCATCCCAGCCACGCCCAAGAAGACTCCGTGGCCGCATCCCGGTCCGGGCTCTGGCGAGAAGCGAGAAGCGATTCGGGTTTCATGTCTGACCCTATCAGCCCGGGTCTACTCCCGGCTCGGCAGGGGTGTGGGGTTTGAGGTCTGAAAGCTTGTGGTTCAGATGTCCGACCCTATCAGCCCGGCTCGGCAGGGGGTGTGGTTTTCAGAGGTCTGAAAGCTTGCGGTTCAGACCTTCAGGTTCAGACCTCCTCTTGCACCTCAAGCCGGAGCGAACGAAACGACACATCGAGGTCGGGGGAGAAACTCAACAGGCTTGATCTTATTGAGGGTTCTGCCGGCCACACAGCGCACCCAACTGACCCAACTGAAGGTGTGATATAAACTCGTCCGACTGCGCTTTCAAGACATTTCAAGAATATGTATGTATAATTACACCTTCAAGCATGATTGCCTTTGAAGGGGGCAATCACCTAGGCGAAAACAACTCTTCGAAAACTCTCTGCCCCTGGCTCTGCCCCACAAAAAAAAATCAACAAAATGCTGATCTCCCGTTGAAACAGCGAAAGTCCAAATCCCCAAGACACTGTCGCATCCCAAACTCATCGATCGATATGTCAGGATCGATCGATATTCTTGGACCCACTTTCACCCTCCACCTCTCCCCTTCTCGGCTTGGTTTTCAAGGGGGTCACAAGCCGTTTTATCCGCATGGGCCAGTTGAAATGGATGCCAAGACCTGCCTTTAACTTATATACGTACCCTAGAAGTCCAAAGACGATACTTTTCCGTGAAGTAAAGGACAGTCCCTTTCAGGCACCCTAGTCGGACCATTCTGTTTGTAGTCGACTGGACTCCCAGGGTATACCAAGACTTCCGTAAAACACACTGATTTCTGAATCAAATCCACACCCCTTCCCCACCGGCCGGCAATTCACCCCCACAAAAGTGAGTCCAACGGAGGGGACGTAGCCTGCGACACCGCGACGTAGCCCTTCTGATAGTCCTTGGGCCCGGAGAACCAGCTACCGCTATCCCGGCCACAGCCTCAGGAAAGTCGACGGGTGGAGCAAAAGGATTGACGGCGGTCTGAGGATTTGAGTGTCCTTTTCTCTGGCAAGTGAAAAACCAGCACATGAAGTTTAGCAATGGATGCGTGTGTTGGGTACATGTCTCAACTCCTTGCTGAGTCAATCCTTGACAAAGACCCAATGTTCCAAAATCCAAGCACAAAGGTAACCAGTAGTGACTGACAGAAGTCTAGTACAATCTGTCATCAGTGTATATCAACGTTGTTATTCCTTGTACATGCAAGTGGTAACCTAAGTGGCTCTTGATAGTCGTTGCTCTTCTTGATTGCAGTTCTGAAGTTGAAGTACCAAAGTCCTGACGACTTGATGTTCACCCCTCTGCATCCTCAATGAGCTCAATCAACACATGAAGATGGCTTCACCATGCTTCACCCATGCCCGTAGCCAAACATGTTCCATTCAGGATTGACACACGTGCTCGAGTTCTGAAGTGAAGAGTTTGATCCCTGGCCACGCGGCCATGAGGAACTCATGCATAGCAGCATAGCACATGTTCAGAACATGCACGCATGCAGCGCCGTGTGCCGTACATGTTGTGACCTCCCGAATTGTCAGTCGTCAATCACGATCAGCTCAAGAAGGTGCTAGCGGAAAATCATCCTGACATAGATAGATAGATAGATAGATAGATTGATTGATTGATTGATTGATTGATAGATTGATAGATTAGATAGATAGATAGATAGATAGATTAGATAGATAGATTGATAGATTAGATAGATAGATTAGATAGATTAGATAGATTAGATTAGATTAGATTAGATTAGATTAGATTAGATTAGATTAGATTAGATTAGATTAGATAGATAGATAGATAGATAGATAGATAGATAGATAGATAGATAG